TGTCATCCTCTCACATCTTAATTATAGCAACTCCCTCTCCTAGGACTTCCCCAAATCCTAGCTTTTCAAGACTCCTGTATCTGAAGAGAAAGTTGCAGCCTCATGGTTTTCTCATAAATATCAAGAAGCACTGCCTGATCACTGCCAGCCACAAACATCTCCATTTGTTTCTCATTCAGAAGCTGAGAATTACCATCCAGCCAGACTAGCTGATCACAGTGGTTCTTTCTGGTTATACAACCTGTGAATCTTTGAATCATCTATGAATCTTTGGCACAGAGCCTCAGCTGGTACAAATTGGCATAGATCCATTGATATAAATGGAGTGATACCAATTTATACCAGCTGAGGATTTGATCCCTGCCCTTTTTAAAAAAATGATCTCCATGGATTTGTTTCAGCCTACTTTGTATCATCTTTTACTACTCTCCTCCCCATTTCCTCTCCTCATCTTACACCCTCCTCCTCAGAAACTAGTCAGTACAGGAATATCTTTCCCTTTCCAGCTCCTGCCATCTGGAACAGCCCTTCTGGGTCTTCCTGCCTTACTAATGCTCCATCTCAGTTCAAACCTGATCCACTAATCTCTTGCTTATGCCTATCTCCCTTCTTTATATACTAATTTTTGTTACTCTTTTTATGACTATAAACATTAGACAATGCCTTCCCTCCACTGTTTTCCATACTTAAACTCAGATATTGTCTGTTATCTCATTTTTTATTCTGTAAAGTGTTAAAGTGTTTGAGGATATGCATTGTATGAAAGATTCCATTAAAGTTAAAGAGAGTGTAATATATCAAAGGCAGGCTTAACTATTAGAAAAAAATAACGTATACACATTTTTAAAAGTGTCTCGCTTCTCTGTACCAATATAAAGTGAAAATGCCTACCAGAAATCGTAGTATTTCTTTTTGATTGATTATTTAGATTGTAAGCTCTTCACAACAAGAAACTCTGTGTTTGTACAGGGCCCAGTGCAATGGAACTGCAATAATTATGGGTGCCTTTACAAACAATTTCCTGATGTTACAATAACTAACTGATAGAGAAAACATCTTTATTCACTTTTTTGGACACTTCGTTTGCTCGCTGCAATTTCTGTTATATTAACTCTGTAACCTTATGTTTGATAAAACCTACTTAATGTGCATGAAATCAAGATTCCCCTTTATACAGTTCTCTTCTGTTCTCATTAGCGCACCCTTAGAGACCTACTCAGGAGTTCCAGGGATACCGTGGGATCCTGAGGTCAATTGACCTGCATTTCCTGCCTCATGTTTCCTGTAGTCAACCAGTGCTCGCTAGCTGCATGTGTTCATTAGCACAGTTCTATGCAGATGATGCATGCATGGACAGGCATATTTCACAATAGGTGTTCGTGTAATCAGTATTGGAAACACAAAACATTAATCCTTCCCATCACCCACCCATGCCTTATATGAATTGTGCTTTTTTTTAAACTGCATTTTTTTCTTGGTAATGAAAAGACATGCCACACCAATTTGGGCCTTGCTAGGTTTGTGGGACTCCTTGCTAAACCCAAAATAGTGGGTGAAAGGTGGATAAAACTTCATCTCAACCTATGAACACGTTAGATAAAATTGTTTATGAAATTATGGATCAGAGCCAAAATGACCAGTGCATTTAAAATGAAAGAACCAATGAGGGTTTTCAAAGTTTCTAATAAGGTTACAGAATTGTTTTAGCAACCCAAAGTTAAGATGAAAGGAAATATGTCTATATGGGACCAGTAGATATTTGTTTTGATGGAATACAATTTCCACCTCTTCTTGGGCATTACATTTCTGGGGAGCACTTGAGAACTAGCTTATGCATGGGGATAATAAAAATGCAAGGCAGTGAGCCTATACATACAGGGAACATTAGCTATTATAACTCTCATGTCGGTTGCCACCTTGGACCTAAGATTAAATCTCATCCAGTGGTTAGGACACTAGCCTAGGACTTGTGAAACCAGAGTTCAGTTCCCTGCTCTAGCAGACTCCTGTGTGACCACCCAGGACAATACTTTGTGCTTCAGTTCCCCATCTGCAAACTGGGCATAAAAGTACTTCCCTACATGACAGGGGAGGCACAAGGATGAACACATGAAAAGACTGTGAAGCACTCAGATACTATGGTGATGGGGCCCATATAGGTATCTTAGATTGATAGATTTACCATCACACCATCAGGATTCTGTTTTCCACATCCTGAAAATTGTTCTGACCAGACTAAACAAGGAGAAGGAGCCCAATGATACCACATCTTCCATAGCTGCGTCCTCAACAATTCCTGGGATGTACATCTAAAATTTATTTTATTACGCTGAAGTGTGTTAATTTTCTATCCTATCCTGTTCCTCCTACCTCTTTTATTAGAATGTTTTTCTTTAAAAAAAAAGAAAAAAGAATCCAATTTAGTCAGCCAGGACATATCTGTCTTTTGGCAACATGTCTGTGACCCAAAAGGCAATCTTAAAAAAACAAAAACCCGAATACTTGATTCTGGCTAATAAGGATTGCTTACTATGTGCTGTGTCTGTGATTTTCCAGCAAGTGAACAGTAATTATCAGTGAGACAAAGTAATAAATAAATAATAGATACATCCCAAAGTAATATTAAATAGATACAGCCCAAAGGTCGGACAATGGTGATGTCACCCTAATTAGTGCTTTCCTATGGTGTGATACAAGTAGACATGTCAACCAGTATTGGTTCAGATGCAGTTTTGAACCTGTGAACAATTTTTGAGGGTCTGGCTATTTTCTGCAACAAAACAAATGTGTGTTTGATGCTTGTTTTCATTAGTTTTAACAATTTTTGGCCAGTTTCCACTCCATTCCCTGGGATGTGCATCCAGTATCTTAGGTTTCATTTAATAATTTCTTATTTCATAAAACATTATTAATTTCATTCATAGATTATCTATGTAATGTCAGCTAATTTTACATTCTAAGTGTACATCACCAACAAGCTAACTCTTTTAAATCTCTTGTGTCAACTATATTAAACTTAATCAGATGAATGGCTTTTAAAGCTTAGGTTTTTTTTAACCAGATTTTTTTATTATAGTGAAAATTGAGATTTAGTGGAGGTTGCTTTTACTGATAAATGGCTTGCTGGTACAATACACTGACATTTTCATTTCATCCCAAGGCTGGATGATAACTGAAGTAACATTCTTAGTTACTGTGCACAATCATGATGTTCAACGTGTGAAGTCAAACATTGTAATATCTAATTTGAACCTAGTGCTGTGAAACATCTTGCAGAAAAGATTCAGGGCCAAATTCAGTCTTGGTTGTACTTACTTATGCAAAGGGCAGGTCTACACTACGGGGCTACATCGACCTAAGTTACGCAACTCCTGCTCCGTGAATAATGTAGCTAGAGTCGACGTACCTTAGGTCGACTTATTGCGGTGTCTACACTGAGCTGGGTCTCATGTCAACTTATCTTATGCCTCTCATTCTGGTGGAGTACCAGAGTCAATGGGAGAGCAATCGGTGGTCGATTTAGTGGGTCTTCATGAGGTCGGCTAAATTGACCCCGATGGATCGATCACTGTGCATCAATCCCCTGGTAAGTGGAGACAAGCCCAAAGTCTGAATCTGACCTACATATAGATGCAGGATTCTATAATACAAACAAATGATTGTAAGAGGAACAGAGAAATTTCAATGGGGTGTTCAACAGAAGGTTAGGGAATCACTAAAGAAAAGCTCACCCATGTGGACAGTTGCTGTTATTTTCCCAATCAACCACTCTTTCCCTAATAACTATATTGACAAGAGACAGTTTCCCTACTCTTAGATGGCAGGTTAAGGATTAGAATAATTACAAACTGATTATAGAGACAAGTTTTCATTTAAATACACAGTTTATCAACACCCAGCTGCATTTCACTCATGGGAAAGGCATCTTGCTATCATATGAACACAAGGCACAATTTCCTTAAATCCAACAGCCAGCAGAAGTTACATTTTAAAACCGAATTTATCAGAATCCTTGATTTCTATTCATTTATACAGGTACAAATGACTATAGCATATTCACATTTTTGTCAAGAGCCAACAATTAAATACAAGACTAAGGCTGTTTTACTGAAAACCTCCATTTACTTCACAATTTACATATGACTAAATGTTGTAACGTATTACATGTAAGAATAGAAATACCAAAATAGAAACCTAGTTTTGTAGGTGAAACAGCCGTTCATCTTTTTATGAAGAGTTCTGAACAATATATTGGGGAATGGAGCTTTAAAAATTCATAACTGCACAGTTGTAAGGCTAAGAAATTACAGCAACAAGAAGTGGAACAACTTGAGTGCCAGGCTGGGGAAGGTTAAATTAAGAATCTTAATGTAGGGTTGCAGTCAGTAATTAGGGACAGCACAGAAATATGCTTTGCACAGGCAATTTGCCCAGATGCATCATCCTTTCTACTTGGGAAAAATCACTCTGTTCATTAAACTTCTGCTAACCAAATTTGAACAGCATGAGCATCCAACTATAACAGCTAATGAAAGATACACTATTACAGCTCATAGAAAGTGAGAGGAAATAATAGCAATGTTTTTCTCACTACTAAGCACAGCTCAGTTCTTATATATACTATGAAAAACAGCTATACATGAGAAGTCTTATTAGTGCACACACTCTAAATACTTGCAATAAATTAATAAAATTAAGGGATTCTGGTGAAAATTCTGTATTTTAAGTTAGACAGAATCAACCTGGAAGAAAAAGTAGAGAGAAAATACTTAAGAATTCTAATTTAGATGTTACAAACTCAATAAAAAGATAACATTATGGCACAGTGAAACCAGGCATATGAAACCTAAAATGCAAAAAAGCTAGCAATGCATAACAAAATGGAACAAATTACCAAAGCCTTATTTGACATGTGGAAGAATAATCCAGTTTTTCAATGATTCTTCCAACTCCAAAACTAAAGAATGTCTTCCACCATGTATACCTCTTCATAAAGGGGAGAGTATTGTGATAGTCAGATTCAGCATTTTACTTATTCTAACTTATTCACAGTTTGAAAAACATGAAATACAGATCTAAACACTCCTTCTTCAGTAACTCTCATGCCTTTCTTTCCCTAAAACATTTCTTTGTTGCATAATTCTATTATAGTCTTTTCACTTATTGTTGATCTGCTATTCTGTATTCTGTAGCTATTCTGCTATTTCTTCCTTCAGGGGTTTCTACTTTGTGTGACACAAAAGCTTGTACTTCATATTTGCTGTCTTTGCATCAAATCACAGGTTCACCAGATCTTTACAAGCACTAAAGTTATATCTGCATAATACTAATGCTGCTGCCTGTCAATCATTTAATGTTGTGCATGTTTCATTTCTTCAACATACTTACAGGGAAATAGGGAAAAAGAGAGAAATATATGTCAGACTGGAAGTTGACTATCTGCTGTTACCTACAAAAAACAAAGTAAAGACATGTCAAAAAGACAAATCTGATTATGTACAACAGAAGAATTTTTAATGGTATATCAAATGTGATTGAATGATGACTTACCAATCAACTCTGCTGGATCAAGAAGTTCAGAGCAGCTGGCTTAGCTGGGTATTTGCAAAATAAATGTGTGGGGTAAGGTCCTATGTTACCTGGACACGCTAAATACAATAATCCTGGTTGGATCAGAGAAAGCATATATATAAATGATGTTATATTCTTTACTATTACCATAGACCTCACTAAATGAAGATGCTCATGCTACCATTCATTTATGTGCACATCTGATAGCTGTTTGTTTGAGCCAGAGCATAGAAACTTCTCTTTTCTTTTAGTCGATTTTCAATGACTGAAAAGTAAATATACTTATCAATCTGATGAATTAACATTTATTCTGGTTCTCCCAGGCTTATTACACTGCTTACTGTTCTAGCTAAAGAATTTATCATTCTGAAAATAATCCAGTGTCAAACATTTCGCTCACTGTTAAGGTAACATTCACAAGCACATCGGAGGAAGCAGTTATAGAGAGGTCCAACATGACATTCCTCTTTTAAAAGAGCCATTAAATATCAGTGATTAGTTACCCGGGGAACAAAGAGTAAGAGGAGACTGATGCTGCTCCTTCTTGTACCTCAACTGGCACGACAAATGACGCACATAGCCAAGAACCAAACCCAATGGTAGATATTTATATATCTGTGAGTATTTATGTATGCAGTGGTGTAGCTGTGTTGGTCCCAGGATATTAGAGATACAAGGTGGGTGAGGTAATATCTTATTGAACCAACTATTGGACTATTTATGTGGTAATCTAAATGAATGAGAATCTCATATGTTTGGGTATTCCTAAACTATGTCTACTCCTAACAAAAGTGGGTGCATATGTAAAGATGGAATAGTTGTTTGCTATCAACAATAATGGTATGCAATGAGTAAGTACACTCTCTTATGGTCTTATAATCAAAAGGTTGAGATAGCTAAATTTAATCAATTAATGTTAGTAAGCTAGTCCTGGATAGCATTTGCTTTGTGTACTCTCTGGTTTGTCATGGACCTTTGACAGTTGTTGCTCTTCTTCATATGCCTGCACAAAGTGTAGACCTGTGTAAAGTATCATACTTTTTCTCATTCCTTCTCTATTAGCATCTGACTTCAATCAATGCTCCTTGCAGATACTAGTTTATTTTTTTTTTTTTTTTTTTTTTGGCAGAAATGTCCAGATGCCACTTAATATCTTTTATGCACATCTCACCCAAAAAGTAGTCAAATTCTTCATTTGTGGCTTTGTAACAGGTATTTCAGAAGTGTGCAGCAGTACTGTCTAGACACTAGAATTAAAGGTGATATCAAATATTTTTAAACAAGATTATATTCCCAAGGATTGTATTCCTTCATTTGACTATCCAAAAGGATAAAATTCGTCAGTTTGTAAAAAGGATTCAGGCCATGAGTCATTTCCTACCATGAAATTCACGGAATATTTCTGTTGCATGGTTCTAAAAGTGGTCATAAAATCCAAGAAAATATTTACAAGCCTAAAAATCATACATATTTCAAAATAATAAAATGGATAATGTTAAACTGTATCTGGAAAGGATATTACAAGCAAGGAATGTGATTTGTTTGTAAGAGGGATTATTAGCATGTATGTACAGCAGTACACACTGCTAGTTCGAAGTAGCTGAAATGCACAGGTAAATGTTTTAAAATGTAGAAAAGTCATTTACAAGTGTCAGAAAGCAACAAAATATGGACATATGTAGTGATTACATTTCCCAAGTCTGCCTCTGATAGTAGAGGCCATAGAAACAGTGCTAGTAATTAGAACAATAAGACTATTTACCAGTTAATTATGTTTATGTGTATCAGAGATACCTGACTGGAACTCTTGGGTTAGTTGCTCACATTGCATGAATAGCAGGTGGCAGCACCTATTATATTATATCAAAATATTTTGGCACAGAGGATCCTAAGTTCCATTTTTTCTGTTTTCACTATTAGTATTATTACATTTAATATTGGTATTTCTATTGGTATCATTCTTATTTAATACTTTCATTTCCATCACTTTTATACTGTGAGGTAGTGCCTAGAGGTCCCAGTCAGGGATCGGAACACCACTGTGTTACCCTAGGCCAGGGGTCGGCAACCTTTCAGAAGTGGCGTGCCGAGTCTTCATTTATTCTCTCTAATTTAAGGTTTCGCGTGCCAGTAATACATTTTAACGTTTTTAGATGTCTCTTTCTATACGTCTATAATATATAACTAAACTATTGTTGTATGTGAAGTAAATAAGGTTTTTAAAATGTTTAAGAAGCTTCATTTAAAATTAAATTAAAATGCAGAGCCCCTGGACCGGTGGCCAGGTCCCAGGCAGTGTGAGCGCCATTGAAAAATCAGCTTGCGTGCCGCCTTTGGCACACATGCCATAGGTTGCCTCACCCTGCCCTAGGCACTGTACACAACAAAAAGACAGTCCCTGTCCCAAGAGTTTACAGTCGGTGTAAATCTTCATTAGATGAAGCTTCCAGAGCACTCAGAAATAGAAAGGGACATTAAAACAGGAGAACCATTAGAAAATAGTAATATTATAGTTACGTTAGAATAAAGGGGCATCTGAAGCCCAGAACTCAGAATTTAAAAAAAGACAGGATGGGTGGAGGACATTTTACTCCCCTAAAATGATATGGGGTTAACTTCTAGTGTCTGTTGAACTTATGTTTGCACTTCTCCTCACTATGCATTCACCAATGTTCTGCATGACTGCAGTGCTTTAACATGGGACAGTACTACTGCCAACAGCTTCATGAAAACACAGGTGCTAATCCTATACAGTATAGGAGGGCACATTAGTAAAGTTGCATATAGCTAATACAGTTATTCATGTCCTTCAGGTTTGGAAGATTCAGATTCCTTTTTTTTAGAGCTTCTGAAAGCGTCTACTACAGTGCAAGTTAGAATAAAATGTCATGCTAGGAAAAATTCCCAATAAGTAGTAGCTCATTGTGCACTTTGAACCCCATTCTGCACCACTGAGCTGTGTTTTGATTTACTCTGGCAAATATCTCTTTCCAGACACAATAGCATAGAAATGTATTCCTGCAACCTGTTCTGAGTGAGTCACAGCAAGAATTTTAGAAATCAGCAGCAAGACGGACTCAGAATTCTTGGTACAATTGAAAGTAGCACTTCTGCCTTCCACTCACATTATGTGAACAACTAACCCAACAGTTCCAGACTGGTGTCTGCAAGCCTGCACAAGTGTTGAGAGTCTGCAAGGTCCCTCCCTATAATAAAAAATGTACAGGAAATTCTCATTTCCTTGTACAAGTTTTATACATAAAATTGTCATTGATGGAATAAGCTGTGTTCTTTATTGGTCTGAGAACTGGACTGGGATCTGGAAGATGCCGAGTTCCAATCTTAGTGATATGTATTCACTAAGTAGCCTTAACTAAATCATTTAACTGCTCCACTTTGGTTTCCCACTACCATTTGCAAAATGACTATAACAACATTTGCTTACCTTGGGGATTAATTAGCTAGTGTTCTTAAATGCTCTGAAGATGAAAAAAAGCTATAGATGTCAAATGCCGTAATGATTAAAAAGTAATTGGTTAGAACTTTTCAAAAGAAACTCTTTTTCTGTTGAAGAAAGGGTCTCCCCTCATCTCCCGCCCCCGCAGAAACAAAATATCTTTTCGGGGGGGGACTTAGGATCCTCTGTCAGCCTCCACACAAAACCCTGTTTCACCTCCAGCATTTATAATAGTATTAAATATTTTTTAAAAAGTGTTTTTAATTTATGAGGGGGGTCGCCCTCCGAGGCTTGCTGTGTGAAAGGGGTCACCACTACAAAAGTTTGAGAACCACCATGTTAAATGTAATTTCAAACATATCACAAAACAGAATTATGTTAAACTTTAAATAAAATTAAAATAGATTGCATTCTTACAGGACAATTCTTTGTTAAGCTAAATAGCTCAGATGCTATTTAATGAATTTATTTCATAGCTCAGGGGACAATATAAAGACCTGAGATTAAAAAGAGTTTCAAACAGTTGCTGAAAATGCCTTCCATTGTTGGCACAAAAAATAAATCTGATAGTACAGTAAAAAGTATTTTTTAAAAGTAGTAAAAAAAATTTCCTTTATAGTCAACAATTCCTTGGCCTTTAACATTTATTATTTTAAAAATCAGCTAACATTATGTGCGCTCTCATTGCTAAGGAAAGCATAGTATAAATCACTATGTTACAATTAGGTATTTTGTATGCAAGTCCTGAGACAATAAAATCATTGCAAGATGTTCTTACCTTGAACTAGATCTTGATTTAATGTCATCCTTTGCTATTCTTTCACTACTACTTTCTTCATTGTTCTCTGATTGCTTTTGACTTGGCTGCCTTCTTTTCTCCCATTTCTTTTGCTGATTTGAGATTTCCACCTCTACTTGTGATCCATTTTCTGCTCCCAGCTGTGAACCTGAGGAATGTGCCAGGCACTTAGAGGAGTTAGACAGTTTCTGTTCTTCTCTGCCAGAATCTCTTTCTGCTAGCAAAGCAGGAGACGTTTCAGTTTTTAATGCCTCCTGTGCAGAGACTGCACTATCCAGTTTATCTATATGGTCCTTTTCTTTAGATTTTACTAAACTATAAGAAGCATTTATAACTTTTCCTGGGGAATGTCTGGTCTTTAAACCGTCAATATTATCCTCCCTACTGTCTTCACAGCTGCCACAACACACACAGGAATTAATTAGACAATTTGTGGCAGCTATGCTGAGTTTATGGGATTCACTCTCCTCTTCATCAGCTAAAGAATCAGAAGACCCAGGAACACAACTGATAGCTACTTCTGGTGTTGTTACTGGGGATTCTGAAGTAGAGGGAGATTTGGGATTAAATATTACAGTAGCAGATATCTTCATTCCACCCGTCCTATGGGCTATCATTTCTGCTGTCTCTGCATCAGCATATGTATCCCAGCCATTGAGGTATAACTGTGAATCAGGACCTTCTAAACAACTGCACGAATTTTGAATTGAGATACAAGTAATCTGTTTGCCATCTTCAATATTGTTATTATTGCTTAAATCGCTTTCTGCCTCTCTTAAAAGTAAAGTCTCTTCTGTTTGATGACCATTGTCATACACTAGAGGGTCCCTGTGCTGCACACTCTGCTTTGAATTGTGGCAAGGGTTATTCACCCATGCAAATGTGTCATTGGCTGAATCCAACCCAGCAAGAGCTTCTCCTGCTCCATCCAGATCATCCATAAAAAACACTCTCTCATCTTCATCAATTAAGTTGTCAAGATGTTGCCTGTTAGGTGAGGTCTCTGTGCTGGAGCCATTTCTTATGCCAGGTCTATGTGCTGGAGACTGGCAGATACTTGGTGGGGAAAGCAGGGAAGACATCTCATCTCCAACTCTGTGAACCATCCTATTCAGCTGTTCCAATTCCTGTTCATCATACTGCATGGAGCAGGCTAGCTCAGCCTCTGTGTTTTCAGCATTTGCTGAAAGCTCCTCAGCAGGCAAAGTTGCAGCCAAGGCAGTTGTACTGACAGTGGGCACTTCAGGATCTGTTCTGACAGGAAAATCCACATCCTGGGATATACAGAGGTTACGTTCCAGTGTGTGCAGCTCATCATCAGTTAAGGTCTGAAGCAGATCCCTACAAAGCGAAAAATGGAGACATTATGTTGCAGTTTGTACTCCTAAAGGGTGACTGCATTACAGCTCTTACTAGTAGCTTTCTCTGTCTGAAAAGAAATCCACACGCAGAATTTGGAAACAGACACAGAAAAGTATTAGCTAGCACTTGGAGCTGGAAAATTCTAAGTGCATTGTAAATTCTCATTCAGAGTATGTGTGTTCTCCTACACTTGAACCCAGGACTATGCTGGGAAACAGAGAATAAAATATTGTCTCTTTTCTTGCTGCAAAAAAACAAACATTTAGTCATCTGGGGTTCAAAAATAATGTTTCACATTTTAAATATATTACTAGCTTGAATTAAAACCACACATACTGTAATTTGGTTAGGACACTGACACCTTCCTGAGAACTAGTCAGTGAAGGTTATTGCACTCAAGAGTATAGTTAAAATTGCCAAAGCTATTACGTGGGCAGATATAAAGAACGTATTAAAAACATTAATCAATGTCCCCTTTGCAGTGCTGACTTATTGGAAATCTCAGACTGTAATTGAGAATATAGTTTAAATTACAAAACCTGTTTTGAAGAAGACCTAATCTGTTCTTAGACTTTATACAATAATATATTTCTAGGTAGGTTACTATGAGCATTTTCCTTCTGGTTCCCATTACTAATGCATACATAGTTAATAGTTGAGAAATTGACAGAGGACAAAAGATTGGAGTTTCCCATCTTTTCTTTCCACCTCCTCTTAGTGTTTCTTTGCATTGTGATACTTTCATTTATTCCTTGACATTGTTTAATCAGCTGAAATAATATTTAAGAGTTCATGAGGTGAAAAATATTTACTGACATTACTCTTTTTAGTTCTGCAAATAATATTGTTACTGAGCACATTATTAATCTCCATTCAAGGAAAAGCTTCCTTAGAAAAAATATACAACATTCTGATGAACTCGGCTGAAAAAAGACCAGTTGCAGATATGACTAAACTTAGGAAGACAAAGTGAATAAGTTAATATATTTTACTTAGAAATATCTTCTATTGAACCAGTTTCTGCTGGTGAAAGAGACAAGCTTTCAATCTTACACAGAGATCTTCTTCAGATCTGGCACCCAATATTGGGACACCATTGCAGAGTTACTTCCATATCCACTTATAAATCATGTTTTTACTTACATTTAACATTTTCCATATCCAAATGATAAATGAAGAAAAGTTAAGAGCCACATTTATTTTGTAAACACAAAGTTGTGTCATTTGAAGAATCCTGAGGCATAACTGGAATGGAATCATACACTACCCTTGTCTGATACTTGGCAGGACAGCAGTGACAAACTGATAATCTGTCAATAGGGCAATTTCCTTTTCAATATATTACTCATCAGACCCTCTATTTTTTCCTTCTTTCTACTACTAAGGGATAATTACTTTCAGGGGTCAAATACCCCATTTGGGAGTACAGGATAGCAGACCTTTAAGGAAACAAGGCTAGTGCGATCTAACTGATCCACCATCAGACTTGATTCAAAGTCCACTGAAGTAAATGGGAATCTTTCCATTGACTTCACTTGACTTTGTATTAAGCCCTGAAAGCACTGTGGAGCTCATAGCCTTTTTGGATGCTCAAAGACTTAACATTACCTTGACAATTTTGTACCTTAATTACAAGATAACAGCTCTCAACTTCACATCTTAAAACCTGCTTTACATTCTTACTAATAATATCCTGATGCTGAAATGGAAACACCATGTTAAAAAAAGAAGTCATCTTTGGGATTGATACTTTAATACAAAAATGCCCATTGCATTAGCCTTGAAAAAAACAAAAGATTTCCTTGTGGTACAAATGTGTACATGTGATTTTTAGGGGCAGCACAATCTTGTGGCTAGAGCACAGGAAAGGGAGTGAGCCACTCCTAATATGCAAAAAGAACAGGAGTACTTGTGGCACCTTAGAGACTAACAAATTTATTAGAGCATGAGCTTTCGTGGGCTACAGCCCACTTCTTCGGATGCATATAGAGTGGAACATATATTGAGGAGATATATATACACACACATACAGAGAGCATGAACAGGTGGGAGTTGTCTTACCAACTCTGAGAGGCCAATTAAGTAAGAGAAAAAAAATTCTGAAGTGATAATCAAGATAGCCCAGTACAGACAGTTAGATAAGAAGTGTGAGAATACTTACAAGGGGAGATAGATTCAAAAGAAAATAACAGAACACCACTAGCTGTCACCTTCAGCCCCCAACTAAAACCTCTCCAGAGCATCATCAGAGATCTACAACCTATCCTGAAAGATGATCCTTTACTCTCACAGATCTTGGGAGACAGACCTGTCCTCGCTTACAGACAACCCCCCAACCTAAAGCAAATACTCATCAGCAACCACACATCATTGAACAAAAACACTGACCCAGGAACCTATCCTTGTAACAAAGTCCGATGCCAACTCTGTCCACATATCTATTCAAGTGACATCATCATAGGACCTAATCACATCAGCCATACCATCAGGGGCTCGTTCACCTGCACATCTACCAATATGATATATGCCATTATGTGCCAGCAATGCCCCTCTGCCATGTACATTGGCCAAACCGGACAGTCTCTACGCAAAAGAATTAATGGACACAAATCTGACATCAGGAATCATAATACTCAAAAACCAGTGGGAGAACACTTTAACCTGTCTGGCCATTCAATGACAGACCTGCGGGTGGCTATCTTACAACAGAAAAACTTCAAAAACAGACTCCACCGAGAGACTGCTGAGCTGGAATTGATATGCAAACTAGATACAATCAACTCAGGATTGAATAAGGACTGGGAATGGCTGAGCCATTACAAACATTGAATCTATCTATATATCTATATATATCTATCTATATATATATCCTCAATATATGTTTCACTGTATATGCATCCAAAGAAGTGGGCTGTAGCCCACGAAAGCTTATGCTCTAATAAATGTGTTAGTCTCTAAGGTGCCACAAGTACTCCTGTTCTTTTTGCGGATACAGTCTAACACGGCTGCTACTCTGACTCCTAATATGCTTAGAGATCATTGGATGGCAGGTATTATGTAAGTGCAAAGCGCTATTACGATTATGTGCATTATATCCATATAGACAACGGTGTATGTTGCATTTATCTTATTTTAAGTATGAGGTATGTGGGACGTAAAATATGTGGGTGGAAGTAAGATAGTGGCTTGAAACTTCGGGACTCTGTAAGGGCCTATTGGGTTGATTGGAGCAGCGGAAGGACAACCGTGGAAAGGCAACTTGCCAGGTGGAGGCGATTTTGTCTGGGCTGGGTAAAATTGCCAAGAAAGGTCTCTCCAGATTCCACAGACTGATCCATCAGGAATGATAAAGATCCAGGCTTATGAGAAGGTGGCAGTGATACCACATTGGAAGAACATCTGACTCTGTGGCTTATGAAAAAGAAACTGAAATGGGGTTTGAAAAGGACAGAGGGCGCTGCCAGGTGATCAGTACCAGAGTTAATTGTAAACAATATATTACAAGTTCTGTAATTCAGTCGGTATTGGAGCTATGGTGAATTGGAATTTCTACAATGGCCTTTGAAGGGAGGGACTGCTCCACAAACCTAATCCTTTTAACAAGGGAGGGTAGGGTGCCCTGGGTCGTAGGAAACCTGGGGTTGTGACAATCCACATATCAAAACTCCATAAAGAGAGTGATTGTAGTCCAAAAAGTCGCTGAAGGCAAAAAATAAACATCTCCTGCATTCATATTTATTTTCAATCAATGACTTCCATATCAAATTTACTACATTAAAGGCTAAACAAGATTTTTAGGACTGCCACCAACATATTATCTGAAAATAAGTCATGTGATATCTGACTCATACATCACCAGATATCACACAACAAAAACGGTAGAACCAAAATGTAGCTGACAGCTTAGAGGATAATAATTGAGGCAGAATAAAAGACAGCATATGCTCTTCTGCAGCTCTGCTGACTGTACAGCGTTAACAGTAATAAAATACAGATTTTTTAAAATCAGTAAACCTAAGCAGCTATGACTCAGAATAAACACTTGGATACAGCCACGTGCAGTCACCAGGTGCCATTTTTGTATTCACTTTTATAGCCATAATCACACTATGTGGATTGTGTCCTCCACCTTACACCCACTTCCCCATTTTCTCTGGCAGATTTGTTTTTATTCCATAATGCTTATTCTTGTTCTGCATAAATCATTCCATGTGAATCTTGAAGTTTAATGTTTGTTTGGCAATTTGTTCAGCTGTAAATTTGTTAGACAAGGTACCATGCAATCGCTCTAGGGCTAATTATCCTCCGTAGTTGAAAATCAGTCTTGTTATCATGATGTATTATAAAATTTCAAAAATCTGTAAGTTTACAAGTCCGTCTGATAGCTAAATATTATACAAAGATTGATGCATATGGCGTTAGTGTCAGTGATGAATTGGGGGTTCTGTCTGTACCACTTCTGAATTGTGAATGATTTTATGAAATTGTATGATGAAATTACTGCATCATGGAAAGCGTGTATGTGTGTGTGTGTGTGTTTTCTATCCACCATGAATTAGCAGGGTTGTTGACATCTGACTATGAATGCCAGTGAAAATGACATAGGATCAGAGGCTAAAATAGGGAAAGGACATGTTAAAAATTATAGTAGAACCTCAGAGTTATGAACACCAGACTTACGAACTGACCAGTGAACCACACACCTCATTTGAACCGGAAGTACACAATCAAGCAGAGGCAGAGGGCAAACATAGTTCCAATCTATAAAAAGGTGAATAAGGGCAACCTGGGGAATTACAGACCAGTCAGCTTAACTTCAGTACCCAGAAAGATAATAGAGCAAATAATTACACAATCGATTTGCAGACACCTAGAAAATAATAAAGTGATAAGTAATAGCATGGATTTGTCAAGAACAAATCATGTCAAACCAACCTAATTGCTTTCTTTGACGGTAACAAGCCTTGTCACTGGGGGGA